TGAAAAATTCTTCAAAAATCAGACCTCAAGTGTGAGATATCAAAAAAAAGAGCAGCATATTGAAGATTTGTTTAATGATATGCAAATCCTCCTATCCATTTTAGCTGTGAAAAACTTGTCATCGACACCTCTTTAGTTTTTAGTGGATTAGCAATGCAGATTCAACACTCTTCCCCAAATAGGCATTATCATTACAAAAACAACCAATTTTATCCAATCAGATGAAACAACAGTTTTTACCTCCATGATGAAAACAAAATGATTCAAATCTACTTGAAGTGGGCAAGATTTCCCCAAATAGCCATTATCATTACAAAAACAACCAATTTTATCTAATTAGGTGAAACAAAACGATTCAAACCCACTTGAAGTGGGCAAGATTTCATGGAATTTGCTACACAAGAGGCACAAGTTTGAAAGTTTACACTAGGCGTGAAAACAGCGGAAACTACGGGTGATTTGAGCGGCGTGCCAGTATTTGCAGACATAGAGTAAAGTGTAAACCGGACACCAAAACACACAGGAACAGCGTAGGATACAATGGGGCAAACACTAGGGACAAGTAAAGACACAGGGCCAGACTGGTGGGTGTGTTTACTGCACAAACTATTCTCTGACAAACTTCTCTTGGGAGCGGAAAAATGGTGAAAATTTGCCAAAATTGGGCCAGAAATTTTCTCAAATGAAACAACTGGACTTTGTCTGGGTAAATCGCATTTCTGACATATCCTGGACCCATTTTGGCCACATTTTACAACTAAATTTGGTCCCAAAAAGGGCTAGGCAAAAACTTGTTGCTAAACGCTAGATGTGTGTGTTTACAAGACACTCTTTTCTTGGGGCCGGAAAAATTGTGAAAATTTTCCAAAATTGGGGTGGATACATATTGTCAAAGGAAAAACAAAACTTTCTCAACTCAAATTTCTGACATATCCTTGGCCAGTTTTTACAACTAAATTCGGTCCCAAAAAGGGCCAGGCAAAGACTTGTTGCATGATCATGCATGTGTGTGTGTTTACAAGACACTCTTGGGGGCGGAAAAATTGTGAAAATTTGCCGAAATTGGGGTAGAGTCCATTCCATATAATATTGTGAAAGGAAAAACTAAAACCTTCTCTGTGCAACTCAAATTTCTGACATATCCTTGGCCAGTTTCTACAACTAAATTCGGTCCCAAAAAGGGCTAGGCAAAGACTTGTTGCCAACCCTAAGGTTAGATCTGTTGTGAAACCGAACATAACGCAATTCCCCTAAGGCACAACAACATTGCAGGGGTGCTACAAGCCGGGGCACGTTTGCAAACCAGTTTGGTAGGTAAAAATTCCGCCAGAAAAACATGCCAAACATCCAACTCTAGAGTATATATAATCTACAACTTATAAGAGCAATCTATGGCTATGTTTGAAGTGAAAAAGTCTAATAACTTTAGACAAAACAGACCATGATTTTTTTATGGGAACATTGCAAGCCGGGGCACGTTTGCAAACCCGTTTGGTAGGTAAAAATTCCGCCAGAAAAACATGCTAGACGTCTAAATCTAGAGTATATATAATCTACAACTTATAAGAGCAATCTATGGCTATGTTTGAAGTTTAAAAGTCTAATAACTTTTGACAAAACAGACCCTGATTTTTTTATGGGAACATATTTCAAGCCGGGGCACGTTTGCAAACCCGTTTGGTAGGTAAAAATTCCCCCAGAAAAACATGCCAGACATCCAAGTCTAGAGTATATATACTCTACAATACAATCCATCTATGGCTTATGTTTAAAGTGAGAAAGTCCAATCACTTTTGACAAAACAGACGGCGTAAAAATTATTTAAGGGCCCTGATTTTAAATTTTATGGGAACTTTTCCAACTCGTTCGCTTGCCACATTGTGAAACTTACAAACTAGTATATATAATATATATAGTCAATGAAATATAAAAATAGCAATGTGAGATTATTTTTAACACGATTATAAGAATTATTTTGCCCAAACTCTAACCAGTCACGTCCCAAGTTTGACCTAACCGACCCGCCCCTAACTCAGCTGGCGTTCGGCAGCCCAGAAATTCCTGCACGATAAAATTTTCTGCAGATTTCAAACACACACGGAAAGTTGTTTTCATACTACAACAACCGTCTGTGTTCCAGCGAAACACAGCCAGGCCACATCCAACAAGCTTACGGCACACAAAAGGCGGCCTGTTCAGAGCGATCAGATGCTTAAAATTCAATGAATGCAGACAAATTATAGCGTACTGCATAAGAGTAGGGCAGATTCTTGTATACCGGCCGCCGCTAGCTACGCTGGTCTTGGAACACCACCAAACTTCGTCCTAAAAATAACGTTTAAACCTTACCTTGGGCGGTTTTTTCTGCTTCTCTCGCCCCGACATCATCTTGCCGGCTCCAGACATCGTCTGTTCGCTGTAAATCCGCCTGTAAGACTAGAAAAGGGCAACTTTCCGAGGAGGGAACTTCCACCGAACCTACGAGCATGACGCCATCTTGTTTAAGTGCCGAATTTTGGTAAAGTTTTTTGGGGGCATGCGTGGTATAAATATGTGGCCTCAAAAAAATTCAAAACTCGAAAGTCTGGCTGTATTTACCAGACCGAAAAAAGTTCGTCAACTAAAGAAGCCGACTTAAACATCCGGAAAATAAACAAAACAACAAGTATCTCACGCATTGTGATCAAAGTCTGCCTTTTGCAATTTAAATCACCGCCCACACTTCTAGCTCCTGCAGTTCTGCTTAAAACTGACAGGGGTCGCTATTGGCGGATGCGTAGCCGGTTTCAGTTAGCCTCTACCAGGCTTCGGGAGGTGGCTGGAAGAGTAGAACTTGGCCAAATAGAGAGAGATAACATGCGGGGAAGTTGGTCCGCTAGAGAGTTCATTTTGCTGCACCCGAAATGTACTTTCTAGCAGACCAACTCCCCTGGCATGTTATCTCTCTCGAAATTTTCAAGTATTTGGCCAATGTCTACTCTTTCTAGCTGCCTCCCGAAACCTGGTAGAGGCTAGCATATCAATGATTTTAAATCAGAGATCAGAACATTTGAATTCGGCATACATGTAGTAACGAAAGTGACATACATTTAGTAAGGAAACTTTAATGTTATATATCTTGTGCCTTTATTAGAGAAGGAATGTTTAGATTTCACATCACATAGTATTACACAAATTCGAACAAACTATCATACTATTATTGCTTCCAAGATGATTTTTTCTGCAACTGCAAGAATTTTCCTGCACACAAAAGCTGACAACACACATGTACACATAAGCATGAACCTATGTACACAGTAAATACAACAACATCACAAAGATATCTTCTTCCACTTCCACACACCTTTAAGCTTAAGGAGCAAATGCACATACAGTACATGTATAGCAACATAGCTTGAACAAACATATGTAGACAAGACAATAAAATATATGTCTTTTCACGTGTGCAAAATTCAAATGACATTTCTATGCATTATTACCTGTAGCAAGGAAATTATTTTATTTTTCAGTTTAGAAAACGCACTTTAAAGTTGCAAGTCATATTTACAAAAATAAGCATACTAGGTAAAACACACATCATACTAGAATTCACATTACTTTTAGTCAAGAAGAAAAAACAACACAGTAAGTATGGAAGAGACTGTTTCCACAATTTTCTTTTCATGAGTTCATGCCTGTTTCACAATGACAAGAGCCTCATAGCCCTTCCCAAGTTTGATTTTTTTATTCTGTCCGATTATTTTGAAACACAATGAAAAGGTGACAATTATCAAGCACTGACATGTATCAATATACAGAGATGTCCATTAATTTTTGCAACATTCCTTCATTTTGGAGAATATTCCTTTTCCCCCACCCCCCTTAGAAATTTTTTTCGATAGAAAATAAGCCCTGAATTTCATATTGTACACCTTTGTTGATAGTCAGAGTGCCACACTCCTGTCTATCTCTAAAGTGCCGTCAGCCTAACCCTAACCCCCCTCAGCTTCATGCTGAATGGCGAAGAAAATTCATGCCCCCTACCTGCATAGTCCATAACTGCAGTACTACAAGAACAAATCATTTCCACTCTTTTTTTCACTGGTGATAGCAACTCTATGTCAAATCTCTACTCATAATTTGGCCACAGTGTGCAACACAATGCTTGTCTCTACCAACCTGATGAAACTATTTTCGGAAAAGCTTGTCACAGGTTTGCAATAGCACAACCTGTATTGTCTTAATCTTAAATTGGCAGCCTGCAATATGAGATTGAAATTTTGCAAAAATCTGGACCCCAATCCAGGAATGTTTTGATGAATGATTTTTCATTTTTGCAAAATACAGCATGGCAAAATCCTACCTAAAAGTACCCTCTAGCCTGGAACCCAGACTGTTTCCAGGGACAACACAGGCTGGCTCCTTGGCTCCCGGGTCAACACGCCCCAAATTAAATTTTACAACAATTTACGTCCTAGGAAACAGTCTGGTATCTAGGCTATGTGCCCTCTTCTTAGGTCACACCAAATTTTCTGCACAGTCAAACCCGTCCAAGAAGACCACTCAGGGGACCGATAAAATCTGGTCTATGTGGACAGGTGGTCACTATAGGCAGGATCCTCAACGCCTGTGTCAATGGGAAAAATCATCCAAAGGACCATCAAAAAGTGGTCACAATGGCCAGATGGTCCACACCTAAAGGTGGTCACTTGTACAGATTTTACTGTACAAACTTTCCCCACAAAAAATGTGTATAGTGGATGAGTAGAGTGGATTCATTCCTCAAGCTAACTAGCGCAATATGCAATGGTTAAGTACAAAAGTGACAACTTTGTGAACTTTAGCCTCTGTACATTTCAAGAAGCCACACAGGGTGAAACAAGTCCTGACAGGCTGAATAAAAGTTCTAAATGGGGACTATGCAGCTCCAGATGTCTTAATGAGGTTACCAAACCTACATGTGTATTTTAGGTGCCAAGTCCTACATCCTCTCTGCACTACATCCTCTATGGAAATAGTGGAGAGAATGTAGGACTAAAATAGGTTTGCTAGCCAGGCAATTACTGAGGGATGACTGTGGTGTGATAGATGTCAGCTTGAGGAATGACTCCACTCTAGTATATATTTCCCCTCAGACTCTGTTGTCCTGTTCAATTCCCGGTTCTGTGGCTCTGAGCACGAACACAGCGTCGTGTAGGACGTAGTATGGATGGTACAGGTCCCCCTCACACAGATACGGCAGCCGGGAAAATGTCTCAACCTGAAGATACAAGATATAGGATGAGTTTAATGGCAGTTGCAGTGATCCACAATGAATGGTCTAAACCATGTTTAGAATAGAAACTTTAGATCCAACACAAAACCTAGAGCTTTAGAACAGTCACTCTGGTCTTCCTCAGTAGACTTTTCCCGACCAGCCTCGTAACCCCTGCTTCTCCTATTGGGTCAGTTAGTCCTCACTACTTGTGAGAAATTGGGCTGGTCTCAATCATGATGTTTCTGACTCAGGGAGAAGAGTTGCTGTTACAGTTCTATACCTCTAGCTCTATGCCTAGAAGTTGCCAAAAAAAATAGTTGGCCTTGCATTGAGCGACACCGCACTTCAAAGAAGTCACATGACAAGCCTCACTGGGTCAGTCTACTGAGGAAGTCCAGAGTGACAAGTCAAAAGTTCTAGGTGAGAAAACTTTGTGTTGGATCAAAAGTAACTACCAACACAGATGAAATTTTGTGATAGTTACTGGTAGGACTTAATTGACACAAGCATATTCATGGCTTGAAATGTCTTAAAACAACATTTTCACTGGTAGGACTTGAATCAAAGTTGTACCTCGAACCCGCTGGGTGTGAGAACCTGTTCCACAAAACTGTTGGCCTGCTTCTCCCAGCCTTTCCCTTCCACAGGCAGCACCTCTGTAGGGTCAACCAGCTTAGACCCTGGAAAATATTTCACAATCAATCACGCTTACAATCAGATGTGCAAATGTCTGGAGTAACAAGTCATTCAGTGTAATATAGCCGCTTGTTTGTTACGTCGAAGGTTTATATAGTAGAAGGGATTCATTCCTCAAGCTAACCGACATCTAGCACATCACAGTTGTCCCTCAGTAAGACATCTGGAGCCGCATACATGTGTAGTTCCCGTTAAGGACTTTTATTCAGCTTGTCACACGACAGGTTTCGCCTGTGTGGCTTCTTCCAGTGTGCAGAGGCTAAATGGCGGTTACAGCTACACAGAAAACTTGTCTCACTACCGCCCCATACCTGACTCCACACAGGGTCTGAAGCGAGCACCAAATCTCCTCCAGGACCCAAATCGTAAATATAAGGGGTGACACACACACACACACACACACACACACATATATAAAATACATACATACCTGACTCCACACATGGTCTGAACGGCAGCACCACCGCCAGGATGAGGTGGCCGTCGGGCGACAGCGAGCGTCGAATCTCCTCCAGAACCGTACGCGGTTTGTCGCACCTGTCCAGCAGGTTCAGACAGCTGATCAGGTCGTAGGTCAACCCCGACTGCGCCGTCGGCCACTCTTCTATGTCAAGTAACCTGCGACAGAGGAGATTGAAAAGGGAAGTCGGTTTCCTGCTGAAAAATGTCCTTGAAGATTGCAGTGAAGATTACAACGGTAGATTGTGACCATCTAACCTTCTCCTATGCACAAATTTCTGACAATGTCTTGACTCTTGGATACTGTCTTGCCACTTGGTCTGCCACTTTGCCACCCAAAGATCTTCTTGGAGATATGATCAAGAGACAGTTAAGCTGTCTCACCTAGCTTCCCCCCCCAACATCCAGCTTATCTGTACCCCCCACAGGTTACCTGCACCCCCCACTCTACTCCACACCTCTCCCTCACACATACACCCAGCTAACCTGTGTCCCCCTACTCCACACACAGCTTACCCCCCTGCTCACCTATAACCCCCCTTCTGTCCCCCCAGCTCACCTGTACCCCCTCTCCTGTAACCTTTCCCGCATGGGGGGTGACTGCTCCGTCACAAACACCTCCTGGAAGTGACCTGCCATGACCCTGGTCACGTTACCGTCCCCTGCACCTAGGTCCAGCAGCTTCTGGGCCTGGAACACAAGATTATGATGAAATAAAGACTAAACTCTCTCTGCCAAGACTGGAATGAATTGAGAGTTATCCCAAATTTGACTTTAGGACTTCTTTGCAAGAGGAGTGAAGGAGGCGGTCTACATTAGAGCTCACAGACACAAGTTATCTGGCACGTATGACCCACTACTACGGTCACATGTCTCTGACTTCACATTCCAACAGTAGACGGGTCCATTCCGCAAACAAGGTTGAAGGAGTCAGGCGGAAATTTGGGTAAGTGGGAGCAATTCATTCCAGTGTTGGCGGAGAAAGTTTAGTCTTTATTTCATAATGACTTGTACCGACACAGATGATCTTTCATGTTCAGTTAATATATCTAGTCGCTGCAGGGCCGTGTGCCTGCAAAGCTGGTGTGTTACACCCAAGGGCAGTTATACCAGCTATGATGATACAAAAAATGTTTTCCTACTGCAAAGGAGAGAGAAAGCCCAGAGCCCTGCTTACCTGCCAGCCAGGCGAGATCCTCATGAGTTTGTAGAAGTGTTGTTGTGAGAAGACAAACATGGAGCCTCGCCCCAGCCAGCTAAAGGGAGAAACGGGGATATGAGTATATGAATCTGAAGCAAGGTCAAGTGGGGTCATGTTGCACAATGGCAGAGTGCTCGACTTGGAACCAGAGGTCCCGGGTTCGAGTCCTGACATGCCACCGATCTTGTGTCCTTGTGAAAGGCACTTAAGTTAACACAACTTTCCCCACTTAACTCAAGTAGAAATGAGTATTGTCTGTCCTGTATTTGTTTCTATGTGTGGGACACAACACCAGCAACAGCTGGCTGTGTCCCACATGTATTGCACTGTTACAATTTCAATAAACCAAATGAAATCAAATCAAGATTAATTTCTGCCATTCCACACAAAAAATACCCTAGAAAACAAAATATTATGAAAGAAAACGTAGAAGCTGTTCCAATCTGTGCCTATCCTCCCCTGGATTTCACCAACTTACCCATTGATGGATGTGACCGACACGAACATGCTGAGGAGGGTGGAGACCACCGAGTGGAAGATCTGGGTGAAGACCCAGTCAGACTTCTCGCGACTGCCCTGCAGAAATTCTTCTGTCTCTGTGTCGAAGTGAAGAGGGAGGTACTTTGGCTGCAGGGTCTCACTGAGCAGGCTGACATCACAGGAGTACCACTGGAAATACATTTGCTTGTTACTTGGGAAAAGGAAACACCTGTACTAGTATGTAACCTCTGAGTTACTTTCATCATAAACATAATTCCAGGGTGTTATTATTCCTACAGAGATACCCCTCCCTTGAGTGACTCCAGTCTTTTCTCGATCTTGTGCAGTTTGTTTCAGTACATTTGTACTAGGTTTGCTTGTTAGGTTGTCTCTCATACAGGGCTGCCCTCTGTCTCTCCTCCACTCTCTGTTTACTTTTACACTTGTATATCAGGGTATCTTTCCACATGTTTGCATTGTGGCCATCCTATGCAGTACATTGGAACCCTATTCAGCACCAAGGACAGGCCCAAAAATTCACATCAGCATTACTTCATTATTGGTTTAGGCTTCAAAATGACACCTGTTAAGCTGCCTCACCCACCACCAGACCTTTAGACTCTAATAGGGACTACAAGTGAAAGTGTTAGACGTCCCTATCAGGGGCCCAGGTTTATATCTGGCCACGAGAATCTCAGATCTATTAACGTTACACACGGTCAAACCGAGGGCATAGGAAACCCTATAGTGGTAACAAATAGGTTAAATACGCTCCCTATTTTGCGAAATTCTATCATTTCTTAGCCAGCGTAGTTATTCTGGTGGAGACTTTCTGCATGTGTGGAAACCGGAAGGGGGAGGGGGGCGCGGCGGTCTCACCTCCTCGTATCTTGTATCTCTCAGTTCCTCCTCGATCTCGGCCTGCCTGACGGCCTGCATGTACAGGGAGCGGGCCAGCGGGTTCCGTATGTGGCTGCTGGACCACATTTCAGCGGCAGGGCGGCTGAATAAGAACCGAAGTAACGGGTTCCTTTCTTCCGTTCCCAGCACTCGGTGTACAGAGCAGAGGTGAGGCGGCTTCCGTCCTAGATCTCCAGTGCCTAGCCTCCGTAGCAGGCCTTATAGAACTGGGGGTTTGGTGGTCTTCGGCTGTTTTCTGATTACCCCAGTTCTAAAAAAACGGTGGTAATTCAACCAGGCCAGCTATGTTGTCTATATGCAATCAGAAAATAGCAAATAAAAGCTCCCAAAGACCCTGAAGACCCCCAAAATCCCCCAGTTTTTTTAGGCTATCCAGTGCCCAACTTTACGTCAACACTTGCTCCACTGGAAAACTCCGAATCGCCAAACCAAACCTTGCCTTAAAAGGAGTACCAAGATGCTGCCTTTGAACTCTAACACTCAGGGCGAAGCTCAGACTAGTAAAAAAACGGGCTACGCCCAAGTACGGGGTCCGAAAAAAAATTATTACGACTCGCAAACGAGAAACTGTGTAAATACGGAAGTGATCGAGCGGGGAATACCTGCGTGGGGCATGTCGGGAAGGGATGACGTAATGGGGAGTCCCAGCGGGAGCACTTTCACCTTTTTGTTTGCCTTTTTTGGGCAACGCTTTCACTTTATTTAATATTATTAGGCCATGTTGATTTGATTATATGGATGACATCCACGCGCGCATGAGTTTTCGGTCGTTTCCCCAAAAAAAAAAGTTTTCAACCATACTGTAAATTGTACAAAACAGTACTAGTAACTAGTATGTAGTTGCAAAATGAGCAAATATATACCGTAATTTGCAAAAAAAGAAAATACTGTACATATATTGGAAAACGATATCAATATCTTAGACAGACTAAATTCAAGGAAAATGACGAAAATACAAAGAAATGAATTTGAATAGTAGATATTATTCGCTATACCATACTGAGACTCCCTGTCATTTGTTCAACCTTCATGACCACGTAGATTTCATAATGAAAGCAACTTTTCTTTGCCAAACTTTTTTTTATTCGCACGCTCATATCAGTTTTTGGTTTTCCAGAGGATGTCATCCATATAATCAAATCAACATGGCCTTAGGGAGCGGACGAAAGCTAACAAGGCTGACACTTAGTCTCCACCAGACTCCTTTGCAGGCTGAATGAATAGTAGAAATCGGCTAAGGGGAAAATCATTGACCAGAGGAGTTGGCCGGCCATAGAGGGTCCAGCTTGCCGGCAAGCCAACTCCTCTGGCCAATGATGTTCCCCTTGGCCGATTTCTAGCTGACACTCAGGCTAGATGATGATGATCCTAAACTTATGCAGGAAAATTTGCTGCAAAAATAACACAGACCGCAAGATGTCCCCACTACCAGCGCACAAATCCAAATGACGTTATTTACTTTCGTCAGAAAGGTATGATTTCTTTATTGGCAATGACGCAAATTAGGTCTTGATTTGCATAATTGATGCCTCATTTTCCCTTAATTTACTGCAATGCTTGGACGGTCCGGTCTTACTAAGTGTAAAATTCTACTGAATACCTTGCTTACGTTTAGTCAGGTATATCCCTATTTCCTATATGCTTAGGTTTGAAGTCATGTGAACTATTCAGACACACGAGACTAAAAGTGTTGACACCAACAATGTTTATTCAAAAACACACACAACTCACTGGTTGGTGCACTAGTACAGTCACGTGACTATTCCAGTCCAATAGCAAAGCTTAGCAAAGCAAAAGTCTACCCATACATCATAAGCGGATATAAAAGGTGACATATTCAGTATATTTACAAACATGTTTGTAACCGTTGAACATATTTCTCTTGAAATTGTTTACTTAACAAGAAAATCTATTTTAGAAATGCACCAGTTTTCCGTACATCGATATCTTGTTATTTTTAGTTAACAGTTATTTTTGCTTCATTACTCCCAAATGACGTAAACCGGAGAGAAATACTCGATATACATTAACTTGAGCAGTAATGATTTGAAAATATGTAATTACTGCAAGCGCCACTAGGTTGCGCACTCACACCATTATCATCGTCGTCCAAAGTTTTAACCATTTTCAATGTTTTTTTGACATTGGAGTCGCTGTTTTACACCACTACCGATAACATACAATGTGCTTCTATACGGTTCTTTATATAATATGTACAATAGTGTCTTAAAGGCATCCAGTGCAGTTTTCAGGGCTTGGAAACCAGATTTTTTAAAAGTCAATATTCTAGTTATTTATCTACATACTGAGTTGAAACAACACTATCCCAGTATATAGTAACCCTCATGGAGCAAAAATATCCAAAATTCTGATAGCAAATTGTTACTGGAAGGGCCCTTGGTTGATTTTCAGGGTACCCCCCCCCCATAAAATATAACGACTCATTTTGGGACCTGTTTTTGCAGTTTTAAATACCAAAGGTATGAAATACTGATTGAAATGTGAAAATGTGAAGCAGTATGTGTCAATATCATAAAGATTACCTTATTCAGAATATTTGCAGTTTTGCTGCTCTGAAATCGCATTGGATGCCTTTAATAAAATGCAATTTCGGTCACTGCACAAACTACACGGCAGAGTTCCTGGGAGCAAGAAAAACAACTAAAACACGGGAACATACAAAGCACCTACAGATAACGTTAATTAATATTCCTCGACCTCCAAATGTGGGCCCTTGAAAGCTTGGAGCTGCATTTTTGGCGACGTCTCTGGGAGGAGCCTAATGCTACAGTATTGTCTGCAGTTTGCAAGAATTCTAGGAATTGTACAGGAATTTTGTCTACAGTCATGGAATGTCTCCCATCTCTGTTTGCTGACACACATTCCTGGAAACCCTTGGGAAACCCTGTCTGTGACCCCGGGGCTCGTTCACTATACACTCAGGGGAGGGTAGGAGTGATCTAATAAACTGCACTACCAAGTCTTCCTCAAAATCATGAAGTCATGGCAGTACCATGCAAACAATAACCCTAACAACAGCCACCGTCGCCATGGCAATGTATGTTTTCATTGCCAGTCTTGTTAACGCTGATACTAAATACTTTGGCGGCGATGGCCTGCCTTGTTCTTGGACGGCTTCATCCTTGAGTTTGGGACGTCACTGCTGAATGTTTTTGACCTGCATATCTGGCCTTTTGCAGCACCCTCCTGGCATGTTGTCAGGACATTACCTTCAGATTCGGTGATAGGCACATGCGGGGCTTCTTGGTACGACATGTTTTTGCGTGTTCTGCTGTTCCTTAGTGCGTGTGCGGCCTGGTATCTCACGTTCGGGCGCTGTGTGGCCGCCATCGTCGAGTGGGCAGCTGGGTTATGGTACAGGGTTCTCCTCTGGACCAGTCTGTCCCGTGGTCTGCCATACTTACCGACCGAAGCTAGATCTCTGGCTCGGTATCTGCCTGCTGTACGCACTCCATACGGTCTAACGTGCGCCAATCTCTGAAGTAAGGGTATCCGTGGGTCTTTCCGGATTCGGGGTAGAGTTCCGTACGGTCTAACATGTGTCTTCCTTTGGTTTGGTACAGTTTGGTAGTTGTTTCGGGCTGATGTCATTGGAGCGGCTGTGCCGTACGGTCTAACGTGCGCCATTCTCTGAAGTAAGGGTATCCGTGGGTCTGACCGGATTCGGGGGAGAGTTCCGCACGGTCTAACACGTGTCTTCCTTTGGTTTGGTACAGTTTGGTAGTTGTTTCGGACTGCTGTCTTTGGAGTGGCTGTGCCGTACGGTCTAACGTGCGCCACTCTCTGACGTACCGGTATCCGTGGGTTTGACCGGATTCGGGGGAGAGTTCCGTACGGTCTAACATGTGTCTTCCTTTGGTTTGGTACAGTTTGGTAGCTGTTTCGGACTGCTGTCATTGGAGTGGCTGTGCCGTACGGTCTAACGTGCGCCACTCTCTGGCGTACGGGTACCCGTGGGTCTGACCGGATTCGGGGGAGAGTTCCGTACGGTCTAACGCGTGCCTTCCTTTGGTTTGGTACAGTTTGGTAGCTGTTTCGGACTGCTGTCATTGGAGTGGCTGTGCCGTACGGTCTAACGTGCGCCACTCTCTGGCGTACGGGTATCCGTGGGTCTGACCGGATTCGGGGGAGAGTTCCGTACGGTCTAACAACATGTGCCTTCCTTTGGCGTACAGTTCGGTAGTTGTTTCGGGCTGCTGTCATTGGAGCGGCTGCGCCGTAGCCTGGATGCCTGCCGCCCTGTCTGGATGATGAAGGAAGGACCACCTCAGCTCCGGCGGCGTAGAAACGTACAGTGTCATCATCATCTTCCTCATACTCATCATCGTGTGGACTGGATGTTGGGGGGAGGGATTTGGGCCGTCGTGTGTTCTCGTAGTTGAAGTAACTGTCTGGAATCTCACAGTAAGGGTGCTGTACCGTATCCAGCTGATGTCGTATGTTGTAGTAGTTGTAGTCGTTGCTGTAATCATCTGGGATCTCCCAGTAAGGGTGCTGTACCTCCTGTGTGTTGTAGTACTCGTTGTAATCATCTGGGATCTCCCAGTAAGGATGCTGTACCCACTGACGTGTGTTGTAGTAGTTGAAGTGCTCGTCAGGGATGGCGCTGTACTCCGGAATCTCGTCCCCGGCAGGTGAAGCATCATCCTGTGTGCCCGCGCCTGTTTCTGGGCTTGTCGTGTCATGACTGACGTCCACAGCTCGACTGTTTTCTCCGCTGATCATCCATCGGTTGGTGGACACTACAGCCAGCGGGCCCGGTCCTTGTGGCGCCTGTGCGCCCTTCCAACCGTACCGATCCCTCATGATGATGCATGCGGCCGCAAGCAGTGTTACCAAGACAATGGCTACGACAGTTAGCGTCGTGCTGATACCCATACCGCCCGGTAGGGGGCGCTTCTCCCCACGCCGTACCGTTACCGTTACAGCTGGAGTTGTGTAGCTATAGGAGTTGGTCTGGTCCAGGCTGAACTTGCGTGTCTTTGTGTCTTGTTGGGCGGGTCTGGGGCTCTTCTGTTGTCCATGTCGCCGTCCTCTTCTTATTTTCTTCGCACGCGAGGCCGCTGCCAGAAGTGCTGGACACAGGCACGGGAAAGACATGCTGGTACATCTCGCCCCGAGCCTTGAAAAAACACGTTACGTTCTTCATTTCATCGCTACCAAAGGCGGCATCAATGCTCCTGTTGC